GTGTAAATGGTTATTGACACCCAGCTGCTGTCACCACAGCTGCTGTGTTGTGATGCTAATAAGGAATTAATGGCGTGTTGGTGTTTCTGTGTAGACCGCAGTGGGGGGGTGGGGGGGGGGGGGGGGGGCGGGTGGCTACGGCTCAGGAGGCAGAGCAGTCATTTTGAGGAGTTGACTGCCCCGGTCCCCATGAATCCCACTTTAACACCCATTCATCAGCGTCTGTGTGAAATCAACCAGAGTGTGGTTTGTTGTCCACACATAGATGGGGAAGGAGGGCTCTAATATGGATAGTCTAGTTGTAATTTTTTAATTCTCTGGCTTCTTTGTGGTATTACCTTTAGTCTGGGAGGTAGTCAGTGAGTCAGCAGCCAATAGACTTTCCCCAGTATGCAACATAACTCGGATATTGTGTCAACAGGGTTGACTGTAGCCTGAAAGTTGTTTGCTAAGCCGATAATGTTCCAAGTCTTCATAAACAATGAAGGATGGGGCTACGGTTACATAAACAAGTTCTTACAAGTACATTAATTATGCTGAGTGTTGATTAGTTTGAGAAATACGGGAAGAAGGGACGGGGGTGTGTGTGTCATTGTCTTTGTGTCCTGCACATTTGCGCTAAAACAGTAAACAACGAGGACCACGTCACTGTGTTCAAACCCTAACACTGTTTTCCATTAGACCTGATTGGAAGTGTTGATTGATTTTGTCTATATGTTGTCAGTTCAGTGCCGGCCGGGCAGCACACTCTAGTTTATTGGGCCACAGTGGCAGACTTAGGACTGAAAAGAGCTGATCCAGCACCCAAAAATATCAAACAGGCAGACGGAAAGTTGAGGATGTTTTGGCATATTTTTCATCTTAGATGATGTTTTCATTGTTAAACTGAACACTATCACTCTCTACACTCGCCAAGCGGGTATTTTTTTGGTCTTTATATCTGGAAGTGTCACTTTTCCAGATTGATTCTACTTTTATATGAAGGATATTGGGAGTGACTGAATGACAGGAATTTGGATTTTTGTTGGCAGTCTATGTAGTCTACTACCTAAACAGAAAGTACAGTGTTTTTGATGTGTGTCTGAGGTTTTACTTGCCTGATTATGAAAACCTGATATAGGCCACTGCATGTTTTAATGTCCTGGTGGTAGAAAGCCTGAAAGCTTCACACAAGCTGAGGGAAATGGCCTCTTTCATCTGTCTGGAGGCCAAAACCAGGTGAAACGGTGTTGCTTCTGATAAAAAAATGTTGTTCTGCAAGTTGGATTTCCACATCCTTTGTTTTTAAATGTTAAACTATATGGAACTGAAGCCTAAAAGTTGCTGGGTTGTCTTCCAGTGGAGAGTGTCTCCAACCAAAACTCTACAGTTCAAAGTATAATCTTCAACAGGTGAAGTGGCCCTCTAAGATATATCGACACAGTAACCCATTTATTGCAGGGCTGCCAGATGGCATTAGTTTGGACAGGGTTCAAACTGCATTTACCCCAGGAAGCTGTCCATCATCCTGTGTTTGTCAAATAACGTCATGTTGTATCTGTTTATTTTCTGCACTGAATGTCAAACTGACCGACTGAATTAGTGTTACAGCGGGTTAATCAGAAGCAAAAACGGCAGGACTGTGCTTTTCTCCTTCAACTTTCGACTTTAAGCCGAAATGCTTTCCCTCTTTTAATGTCAGTGTTTCTGCTGAGCTTATTGGACTGAGGATCAATACAAATCACACAATAATGGACACACTAAATATTAAGCTTTGTGGTACACAAGCTCTTAGGTTCAGGGTTCGTTTGGTCTGGAGACGTGTTTAGGACTTCTACTACCGACCATGTAGAAGTACCCACAGCTAAACGTATGGTCACTTTTTCATTGAAAATATGTGTGCTTTTGTAGAGACATGACTAAATGGATACACCGGTTGCACCGAATAAAAGTTGATCTTCTTCCCATTTCCAGTTCCTCCATGTAAAGGTTGCCCTCATTGGGAGACATCAAAATCTTCAAACATTGTAACATTTTTCCAACTTGACATCACCAAAATTCTACGTTCTTTTGATCAAGTGTTTAAAATAATGGACCAGATATAAAGTTAGTATCGAATCAAAATCAGAATTTGGCTTGTTGACCAAGTATTTTTTACATACAAGGAATTTGACATGGTCGTGATGCGGAACATGCAACACATACAGACCCTTTGCAAATTATTTAAATATATAATTTCCATAATTTCATTGAAAAAGTTAAACTAATAGATCGCAGATTATAGATGGTCTCCTGGCCAGCTGTCATGTCTTATTATTCCCCTTATTGAACCAAACTGCAACAGTTTAAAGGCACCTGGGGAATCCTGTGCAGGTGTTTGGAGTTAGTGGATGATTAGTGTGTGACACTCAGTTTAAAACACTCATGCCCTGCAAAATTCGGGCTGTTTTATTCTAAGTATGCCATTTTTCTGAATGCCTGTTTTCGCTGGCTTTATGAACTGGAAGCCCAAATTACGTAAAGGATTTCTTCTTCAATCCTTCCCTTGATGTTTGGAGTCCCAAGTGCTGACATCATCTCTAGAAGACCCCGACGACAAGCTTCCGTCTCCACTCTCTCTACTGGCTGGCTTGCTAAATTGCGTGGGGATCATAACTTTCCACCACTGTTGGGGAGAAAATTCAAGCTCAGGTACATTTCAAGCTGGATGACAGGAGAGGCTTAGGCTTGGGTGATGCAATGTAATCCCAGGTAATGTAAAGTGACTCTTAGGACATGGAATGGCTGGAAAAGATGCTGAACGGATGCGTAAGATGGAACGGTATCAACTGAATATAGTCGGGTTCACCAGTTCGCACAGCGTCGAATCTGGGACTGGACTACTTACAAGCCTCTGGCAAGTCTTCCCCTGTTGGCATTTTCAGTGAGTGGGATGGTCAGGTCATTGAATCTTAAGGTTCTGACCCAAACAACAGTCCAGATTATCCCCCCATGTGCAGTCTCTGGGTGGTGTCCTTGTAGTACTATAGCAGTAACAAATGGTACATTGAGGTAAAATTGAATGTTACAGGATAAGAAAGGGCCAAGATCTAAAAGTAAAAATGGAAAAACAAGGCAAAACTAGTCCATAACTAGTTCATAGTAACAATTTCTTAACTTTGTGACAATATCTATGTCAATTTCAACATGAATGATGCAGATTTGAGTTGCTCTAAGCACTTGTAGCAGTCATCCCAGTTCTGTAAAGGAAATTCTGATCACAATTTTCTTTAAACAATGATAAATACAAAACTAATTTACAGCAAGAAATTCCACGCATGTGTTCTCCCACCTTTTAATGGCATTTTAGTGAGTATAAATAATTTAACATTCCAGTCACGGATTACCCACCAAATCTACTGCATCACAAATTTAGACCTGTTGGTGGTCTTTTAAAAGTTTTCTGTATCTAATATGATGCTAAAGAGTAAACTACATTAACAACTGTAACTCATCTCTCGCCGCTGGTGGTGTAAGTCAGCTCATGTAGTGCGCCGTGAGGAGTGTGTGTTTGTGTGTGTGTGCGCTGCGTTCTGCGGGGCTTTTACAGACCAGTTCATTTGGCGATGTTTCGAAGGCCCTAACTTTAATTTGAAGCCCATTTTCGCTCCATTATGCTGGGCCACTTGGGAGGCCACAGCAAATTAGAACTATCTCTACTCCAGTGAGTTTTAAAATTAAAATGGCACTCGCTGCACCCCACCTGTCGAGTACTCTCAGTCTGAGTGGATGATGTCACACACGGCGTCGGCTAATCAGCGGTACGCTGTATTTACTTAAACTTTAGACACTGGACTGCTGAAAGTGTGGCTGGATGTGTATGTGTTGATCCTGATAGTGATGCAGCACTGTGATTGTGTATCCTGTAAAATCAAAGTGAGTAAGATTTACTGCGTGAGAGCGCCCGTGAATGGTCGAATGCGGCTCTGAGTGGTCAGTTAGACTGGAAAAGCGCCATAAAAAGGCAGTCCATTTACCATTTTTTTGTGGCCCAGGTAGAAAGGTAGGAATGGCCGTCACCGAGTTGAAATAGCTTCGCAGCCTGTCTCTAACCCCTTGTGTGGTGCCAAACAAGATCAATACGTGAAAATGGAGGAGACGCGAAGTGAGGAAATAGGAGAGGAAGTGAATTGATGCAGTGATATTTTAGCCCCCCGTCCTTGGCTGTGGTAATCACAGCTGTAAAACTCGGTGATTAC